TTACTGATCGAGGCTGATTCACCTCTGAAGGCATCTAGATTACTGGCAAATAGAAAAGTTAAAGAGGAGAAATAGAAGTGTTTAAAGATTTAAAGAGGTTTACATGGAAGCTATGTGTGAAACCAGAACTTTGCACCCTTCCTCCGACACCCGCTCAGCTTTCCGGTACACTTCAGGACGTGCAGCGACTTCGTTACCTTAGCAGAGGATGCATCCACTCCGGAACAGAAGTCCATTAGTACGATCCCTTTACAGCGTCTCCGGTTAAAGTAGCTGGGAATCTTTAGAATAAATGCATATACTCAGTTCCACCAAATAAGCTTCCTTAGAAGTGGCGCATTTACTGCTCGGGTTGAGTGCACAGCGATGCAAGCCGTGACTCCGCTAAAGGGAGGGACCCCTTGGCACACGGTCCCATCCATCCGCTCCAAGTTCTGAAGACTTAGCCCTAAGACTTAAGACTCCGACTGAGTTCCAGCACTGAATTCCAGGACTGCACTTCAGGACTGAACTGAGTTCCAGGACCGAACTCCAGGACCGAACTCCAGGATCGAACTCCAGGACCGAACTTCCAGCACCGAACTCAATAGTTCCACGAAGTGTTCCTTTTAAAGGGGTATACACTTCCTGTTACATGGTACTTCCTGATTGGTTGAAACAACCAGCAGGGGGGTGGTTCTAGTGATGTCAAGAGGGTCACTAGAAGTCAAGAGACAGCAGGAATGTTTACGAACGGTTAGTACAGACAGAGAAATGTTGTGACGAAGTGGGACAAACGCAGGTGCCAGTTGAAGTTATTTACTGTCTGCTAGTTTTAAAAACAAGACACTTCGGTCTAATAACTCATCTCTGTTTGTCTCTGACTTTCGACCGACATCAATAATCCTCATTCATTCAGAAGACTAAATGCACACTTACTTTGTAAATAGACATTTAACTGTATTATCAAAGTCTAATGAGGTTTAAAAATCATTAATACTGTTTCACAGTTGATTTAAATGAGTGGTTCACTTCAACATTTAGAAATGATATGAACTAAACACACTTTGGATTATCAAGATATTGTAAAATAGTAATGATAATATAAAAAAGAAGAGTGTTCTTTCAATTGATTAATTCAGG